TCTGACCCATTCTTGATGCTCTTCTTGCAAAGGTCGGTCAACGTGCTAAAAAAAAACTACTTACCTTGAAAGAAACCCATATTCGGGAATTTTTCAAAACTGAAAAAGTTAAAACAAGCATAGCAACTGAACACAAGTGTGTACAGAACGAAATACTTATCTTAATAACAAGTCTTTATAAAAAATAACAAGTCTTTTTGAAAAAGAAGCAGGTAAAAAGATAAATATGAAAATAAAAAAAATATATAAAATTAAAGTTTATCATGAACTTGAAAAAATTTATTTACAAAAATATAAGTTGGAAAAGTAATAAGGGTAGGCAAAAAAAAAGCAATCTTTATATATCTTCTTTAATTAAAATATCTATTGTTTTATGAAAAAAAAAACAAAAAAATAAAACATGAATAATCAAAAAAAAAGATGAACATGGTACAAATTAGATAATCAAAAAAATGAACATGGTACAAATTAGGTAATCACTACAAAAATTTTTCCAGGCATGTAATCGTTAATCAATTTCTAGGGGATGGCTAAAGCCAGGTGTGTTTATATGTTTTTTAATATTTAATTAATATTAGGGTAAGGGTTGGCGAGAGGTTAAGGTTAGGGCAAAACTTATAGGTAAAATTGCCTTCCTGATATTTTTTATTAGTGCTCCAAGGTAGGTTTAGATACTCATTTTCTTTATTTTTTGTGTTTTTTACTTTTTTTCTTTGTTTTTGTCTCATCAGGCTGATCCGGGTAAATCAAAATTTATTATTTGATTGGCTGTTGGTCACGTGAACACACCTGACTTTAGACAACCCCAATTTCTAGCAATTTTTATTATCGTTATATCATAATAAACCTGACTATTTCAGGTGCCTGAAGCATCTGAAATTAGATCAGGTACCTGAAGTTCCTGAAATTAGATCAGATACCTGAAGTTTCAAATTCAAGCAGATGCCAACTTCAGGTATGATATTAATATCATTAAAAGAAAAATTGCATATTTCTTATTTGTAACAGGCTGTTCATATTTAATAATTTATAAATGCCAATTATAATAAACACTGTTTCAATAGTAGATGGTTTACAGTTTCATAAGCATTAAATGCATATAGTTGTTTATTTATAATTTGATAAGATTAGATAAGATTAAATTATTTTCATTGTTATCTAAACTATACTGGCGAAGTTATCCTAACTATTTGGGACAACCCAAACTACGTGACAAATACTATAGAATACTGCATAAAGTATTCTCCAAAAATAATGCCCTACTACATAAAGTACCCTTTCATCAATCAAATCACTAGGTCCGTGAATAGTACCTGGTACTATTCAATTTTAAAAAATGTGATTTTTGAATAAGACCCAGGTACTGTATACAGTGCTCTATGGTAATATCATATAAAATATCTATTTATCATCTTATTGCTATTGCCGAAACAATATAATATTATTAATCACAGTCTGGAACTTTCCAAATAGTTTGCTAAACTTCATTTCTTGATAAATTGGATATTTTGCATACAAAATATGAGTTTAATAAGGGTAACGAGTAGTATGTATACTATTTTACACGCTTCATAGTTTTGTTTTTTTATATTTTTTTATTGATATATTTTGTCTAGGCAGGTTAATATCATTTCAATCACAAATCGCAAAAATATTCATGATAGTAATACTTGAATTTGATATCAATAAATGTAAAGTAATGCAGTTTTTAAAGCTTATATAAATAATGATAGAACGAAATTACCAAAAAATGCAATCGTTTCATTAATTGAACTGGAAACTATATTTTAAGTATTCTGAAACAATGAGTGTTAAATTACTAATGATCTAAAGTGTTATATGTAGAATGTCAGATATCAAAGCTTGTATCTACCTAGTTATTTTAATTGTAATTTATAGTTTAATGTTTGTTCTTATTACCACCGAGAAAGAATTTTGTTTAATATTTGAATCAATGTTACATCACAAAATTTCTATTGTCATATTGAATGAGATCGATATTATTTTGCAAGTAATTGTCAGATTTGAATTTTATATTTTAATTTTAATTTAATAATTTATGAAATTGAAATTACAAAGAAGTATAAGCAAAATTATTTTCTATAATTGTAAAGTTAATTAACCTGATCAATAAAAATGAGAAAAATCTATATAGTGTCAGATATTTATTATTGGTACTATTATCATTGTTTTTTAATTTAATTTGTTAACCAAAAAACCTAAAATATTGTCTTTCTTCTTGCATGATAGAATTTCTATTTGCTGAGAAGTAAAAGAGATTTAATATTATAAAAAGTCAGTCTTATATATTAAATTATATATAAAAAAAAAAGAAGTATATAGAAAGGTTTATTAGGGTTGTAAGATATCCACTTTTTAAATCTCTTTTTATTTAAGAAAAGTTAGTATAATAACGACTTTTTAAAATAAATAAAATTAGGTTATTATCATCAAAGTATTGTAGAGAAAATTAACTTAGTAATTTAACTAAGATCAATTTGAAGTCGTAATTATTCTCTAACTACAATATCATATATTGATGGCCTTGTATTTTTTGTGAGAAACAGGAAATAAGTTAAATTTGAATAGTGATTAATGAAAAAGATAATTTGTTGAAACTAGAGAAAAAAGTGTTCATGACTATAGAAATTATGATTAAAGATAAAGCACCATCTGAAATTATAATCATATTCTTTTTCGTGAGTCATTATCAGTTTCTTGACAAACACAAAATCCAGACAAAAGTTGACAAAAGTTGACTGGAAATAATACTAATCCTAACCTAATGTAGACTAATTTGTCGAGAAAGTAGTTTTCGGAAAAGTGATAGTTTCGGTGCTAGAGGTGCTACCTATAATAGCTATAATATATTTAAATCACTTTTTTATATATACAGTAAATACTATACATAACTTACATTAAAATAATAATTTTATATATTTGCTACGTACCTGTTTTACAGATAATTTTATCATCATTATAAATGTCAACAAGTTTAAAGTTATTAAATTTTCGATTGAATGTTTGGTGTATTTAGTTTGTGTGAAAACTTATAAAAAAAGCTGAATATAAAAAGACTCCAGATATAAAATAGAATTTTATAATAAACATATTATGCGAGTAGGTGCCAATGCGGTCAGGAATTTGTCAATTAGTTTAAAGATGAGACTCAAGATTCTATTCAAAAAAATCATATTTTTATTAATAATTATAAAAAATATGTTGTAAAAGTTTTTCAATACACCCATCTCTTCGAAAGTGCTTAAAAACTCAATTTATAAAAGTTATGCTAACATTTATGTGTTTTGCAATTCCGAAATGATAGTTTTTCTAATTTTTTTTAATTATTCATTAGCAAAGATGCTTTAAAAGCAATCATGTTTCTATATTTGACCTGATAAAAATAAGAAACAGATGTTTCTATACCCATGTAGATTATTTTTAAGATAACCACCTAATAGAATTCAATGAGCTTTTTTTTATTTTTTTTTTAAATTCTATAAATCTATTTTATCAAAGTTTATTAGGTTGTTGTCTGAAGGAATTTACAGCAGATTAAACATCATACTATACTGATCAGCTATAATTTCTAACCCTAACGCTAATATATATAACATCAGATCAAAATCTACCCTATATATAATTGAAAAAAAATGCTTAGGTGTTAGTGAACCTTCTAAAAGTTGGGTCTTCAAGCACTTTTAATGATATGGATGTAATACTTTATTGATAAATATTAAAATCTCAATTTTTGAGTTACATTTTAAATCAGTTGACGAATTCTTGATCATATATCTAATTTTTTTAATAATAGCATCTATTTTATATCTAAATCTTTTTTTATATTTCTTGTCAAGATTTATTTGTTGACAAGAATGGCCTTTTCTATAAATTTTCGCACAAATTAAATACACCAAACATTCTGAACAAGTACTTAAACGAAAGTTTAATAATGTTAAATGTGTCAACATCACAATTATAAATTATCTGTAGAACAAGTATGATATTATATTATATATAACATAAAAATGTTTATCTTTTATATACCCAAAATCAATAAATTAACCAGATCTGCCAAAAAATTATTTTGCTAATTTTTTTTATCAAGTGCTCCAGAATTTATAAAAACAGTAATAACATAGCATGTGTTAGGGAAATAAGTAAAAGTGTTGGAGAAGTAAAACTGTCGAAATAAATTTCAATTATATGGGCTAGATGCTGAGAAAAGAAATAAAATTGACAATTTTTTTAAAAGATATTTTTTGTATAAATCAATTTATAATAAGATTAAGATCATTTTTCATTTAAGACACAAAAGTAGTTGTATTAATAAAATTTTGTAGTATAACTCTTTAAAGTTTATATTTTCTTATGATTTATTATAAGATTTATAACATAAAAATTGATTTTCTGAAGATCTTTTTTTTTTGTCAATTTCATCCCTTTTCTCAGCACCTAGCCCATATATATTATAGTTTTTTAAAAGTTTCAGATTATAGTTTCAGAGATTTGAATTTGTTTTTTTTTAAAATCCAAAACTAATTTCAGATTAGAGCATCAGGACTAGAGATGAGCAAGGTAATTTACTTATTACGTAAAAGTTAAATCACATTATATGACAATTAGTATGTTATTAGTTGTAAGTATATATTATTAGTGAATTATCGTATAGTGTGATTTAACTTTTACATAATAAGTAAATTACCTTGCCCATCTCTAATCAGGACATAAACTCATACAAGGGAGACCAAAATTCTGAATCAGAATGCATCATAATCCTGGTCAGATGTGCCAGAATTGATTAATTTTGCCTAAGATTACTAAAATTTTACTAATGAAATCATAGCCCATTCACTAAGTAAAAACACTACCAGGTTAATTCGCCACCCAAATTTTTTTTAAAATCACGTGATATATGTTACATATACATTACATAATCAATTTATTATTTATTATTTTATATATAGAATATCGTATATACTTTTTTTAGCTTTACAAAAATGCTTAAGTGTGGTCACTATAACCAAGAAAAGCCAATCGAAAGCTTCAAAAGATTAAAAACTAAAAGTGACAACAATACTACTACGAAAACAAAAACATGTATCGAATATTGAAATCAAATTTTATCAAATATTAAGACCAAAAATTTTAATAAAAAAGCTGTAGCTATCGCTAAAAATTTAGAATTTGCTTTAGCACCAGAAGTTTTTGTAGATTTTATTTTCAAAGTACTTCAAGAAAATCAGAATTCTGATGATTTGTTTGAAATGAGATTTTGTGTAATTTTAGATCTATTAATAGATACAGTAGATATGAACTTGAATCAACAAGATACTGCAAGCCTGGATAAACAAATAATTACAAATTTAGAAATGTTGAATCAAGAGAATTTGAATCAACAAGTTACGAATTTGGATCAACAAGCAATTAATCAACAAATAGATAAAAATGTTGCTCAATATATAATTAATCTTATTTCAAAAGCAGATAAATTTTCTTGGATTTATTATAAATATGATAAATTAAAGAATTCAACTTCATTTACTTATTATTGTAATTGTCGAGAAGAGTTAAGAAATAAAAAACCACGAATTGATAATATTTCAAATTGATGTGATTCAAGTGGTAGAATTTATCATTATGCTTATGAAGGCACAATTCATTTAAATATTGAATGATTATATAATTTTGTTGTAGTTAGTATATATTATTATTTCTATTTACCACCAGAAGAGTTAGAAGTTTAAACAGAAATCTGATAATATATCATTAATAATCGTTTATTAACGGTTCCACAACTTTATTTTATTTTATTTTTTTTTTAATATTAAAGGTGAGGCCATGCCTCTATCTTTATTAAAACTCAGTTAAACTTTTTACAAGTAGA